TGTCCCCACAGCCGAGGACTGAGACCAGGGCCGACCCCATCGCTGTCAGCCCTTCTCTGGGTGCTCCATGCCCCCAGCCCACCTGCCCTGCTCCCCGGTGGGTGACAGGCTGGCTTTCCCCGGGGATGGGGGTGCCCGCAGCTCCAGCCCCAGAGGGGCCTTACCTGCCACGGGGTCTGAGCCGGCTGCCAGGGAAAGGAGGCAGCTGGGAGCCCCCCAGTGAGTGCAGGAGGTTGAGTCCTGCCCTGCCCAGGCAACACCCAAAAGTGGGTGCAGCTGTACCTCCAAAGTCCCTGCGCAGGGAGCAATGTGCACTACGAGGCAGGAGGGGAGGCTGGAGGGGTCAGGCAGCCCTGGAGCGGGCAGGGGCCACGGCTGCAGTGCTGATGCAGGGCAGAGAGCGCAGCGAGCATCACATTAATATTTGACGGGGGCATCGAGTGGCAGCACCGGGGATCAGTGGGTGGCACCAGCGCCAGTCCTGGAAATAGTGGCTCAGTGGCTTGGCTCCAAGACTTGTCCCGCTTCTCGGGCCAGTGGAGAATGGCGTTCTCTGCCGAGGCTGGTCACAGTGCCTGCCCCCGCACATGGCCAGGCCAGGTTTTGGGGACACAGGAAGGGTTTTGCACTGGTTGGCACAGAGGCCAGGTACCGGCAGTGGGGGATCTTGAGCAGAGGGACCTGCTGCACCGCTGCCTGGACATCTGTGACCGATATGCAGCCATGTCTGTGTTCCTTCACTCCACCACCATACATTATATATGGCCAGGATGGATTAGTGGGGCTCGCTTACGTGTGAGAAATTCCATCGAGGGGCTGGAATAAAATCAAGCAGCAGCAGATCGAAGCCTTTAAACACCGATCGCCCAGCGAGGATCCATTACACATTCAGCCTCTTAATCCCTCCCCGGCCCTGGCACGGGCTGACGCCCAGCACAGAGCAGCTCTCGGGGGGGGATGAGCCGACGCCACCCTGCGATACAGCCGCAGCGCCAGAGCGGGTTACACTGTCCTGTAAGGGGAGGATTTTGCCAAAGCCCTTGCGAGGGTTGGATCTTCCTCTAGGTACCAGAAAGCCACTCACAAACATCCTGCCTCCTGCTCCCCTGGAGTGCCAGGGAGGACAGAAAGGGCCACCTCGATGCCCAGCACGGCCTGGGACCTCCGACGAGAGGATGCTGCAGAGGGAGCCTTTGGGAAGTACCAAAGAGCCGGCTCCCAATTGCCAGCGTTTTCCGATCTAAATCTCCATGAGATTTTCATCTTTGCATCCATTTCCGGGGCCCAGAAGGCACTGAGGCACCATGGTCGCCCTAAGCAGCCTCAGCCCATGCTGGGCTGCCCTTGCCGGGGCAGACGCAGCCCCCAGAACTCTCGACACCAATGTTTGGGTCTGCTCGCTGGGAAGCAAGGTCTGCCAAGGCGGCAGGCAGGTGTGGGCAGCAGCGCAGCCCCAACGCCGGGAGCTTCCCAGCCACCCGGTCCATGGGAGGGGATGGAGTGGGGTGGCAGCAAGGGCCTGGCACCCTTCAGGGCACGCTGCCACCGCACAGCTCTTGGGGACACCCGAGAGTGCTCCCCATCTGGGGGGGTGTGGGGAAGGGCTCTGGGTTTCCCTGAAGAAGAGACTCCCTAAATGCGAGGCACATCCCAGCTGGGGCCACTTCTCCCACGGGCAGCGCAGGCAGCTGCCCTTTGGCAGGCAGCTGTGCCAGGGCTGCCTTCCCCAGCCTGGAGAGCCTCCCTGCAGGATCGCAGGCCTCCGCGGCACGGGGGTGTGCAGGACCAGGAGAGGAGAGGAGGGTCTCCCCCAAACCTCCATCTCAGCCTCTTTCCTTCGCCCTGGTCTTCAGGAGAGCAGACACTGGCCCCTTTGGGGATCTGCTTGGGAGAGTCCCAGCGGACTCTGCCTTTCCCTTCCCCTTCCCCTTCCAGGGGTGCATCCCCGCAAGGACGGGCAAACAGCCACGGAAGAATCCAGGCATGGCCCCTCTCAGCATCCCCGGTGCTTTTATTTCAGAGGGAGTCCGGGGCCCCGCTCAGAAGCGGAGCCAGGGGAGGCGGGTCGCGTGGTCCCCTGAGCCCGGCTCTTCCTCCCGGCCCCTCCGCAGCCACGATGGATCTTCAGTGGCCTCTGGCGGGTAGCGGAGCCGGCTGCGCCCGTCGCTGTCCCACTGCCAGGACGGGCTCCGGACACGCTGGCGGGGCATGGGGGGGGCTGCGCTCCCCACGCGCAGCGGAGAGTCTCTGGCGCTGGGGACCTCCAGGGCCACGCTGCTGCTGCT